TTTCATGGAAACTGGAAATGCAGTTTACTCCTACTCAATTATAGCTGAAGACTACTTGGAAGTTAGACATACAATGATTGAACAGAAGTTTTGGCTTCTCATGGTTTGCCAAGCTCTTCCTTCTTCCTCCTCTCTGTGTCACTGAATCATCTCCAAGGACTGCCACAAGCTTTTTAGCTGGTTTCTGATAATCACCTTACATTTTACAAAATGGAAGCGGCTCAGATTCTGACTTTAGTAAAGATGCTTGTGACACAAATCTCCCAGAAATGTAAGGTATTGCACTCGTGTTCTGAAACCCACAACTAAAGTTGAAAAATTAAGATCTTCCATCAAACAAAGGGACACTCAAAAGAGCAGCAGTTAAATGTAAAATCTTAACAAGGTGAGCCTTGACCTGATCCTAAATATTTGCCTGCTCTAAAATCACAAAGTATCATCCTGCAATTTCAGACCTTTTAGAAGAAGATTAGTAGTTAATTTGCCACCTTTCGGTGTAGACAGTGCCATATACAGCATGAAAAGCAAATCCCTATCCCTCTCTGACACACAAGAAATGTAACAGACAGCATAGACATTCGCATATTTACCTGGCCAACCTTTTATGGTCAGTAAGCAGTCTCCTAGTTTGACGCATTAAATAAAAAATTCTCCAATCTAAGTGAATTTTGCAGCATTAGAACCATGATTATTAAAAGAAATTTAAGTTTGCATTATATACCTAATTCTTGACGAGCACTGCATAAATTGCTTAAACCTAGTTGGAACTACAAAAAGTGCCCAAAAGGCTCGGAAACTGAAAGAAGTTGGTTTGACTCAATATACTCAGAAAATGTATTACTTTGCATGTTGAAATACCATCAATGGAATACAACAATATTATAGCTCCCTATAACAATATAAGATCAAGTAATCTTTAGAAGCAAAAGGAACCATAGATGGCTTGCATTCACTAATGAAACGAGTAAAAACAAACCTCTCTTTCTTTTTCCCAATTCCTGTGTCTCATATTCACCTGTGGTGGCACTCATAAGCTTGTTACTACCTAAAGAATTTACACTTTTTGTCTCTGCTGTAGAGTGCTTAAATTGTTCAAGGACAATATCAACAGCGAAATCCTTCTCCCAATTGCTCATTTCCTTCTTGCTTGTTTCTCCTTTTAGGGGCTTCACATCCTTATAACTGACTGGGGACAGAAATGGCCTCTCTTTCCCCTGCGACAATAATCCATTTGGGTTAAATTGCCAAAATAACTTTTCTTGTCAGGTTAAAGAAAATGAAGCTTCATATCAATATCAAGGCAATCAATGTGTAAAACAACAAAGAAATGGACGGCATCAGCTTCTTATATTAAAAACTTTTCTACCTTTCTGTTCACCCAATTTTGCTTAACACTATCCTACCCTCCCCCTTAAAGAAATAAACCCCTTGCACGATTGCCATCAAATGGTTAATATTTCAGTAGGGTCCAGATGAAATCATTAATCAATCTAATGAATTAAATCAGCCAGCAATTAGAGGCCAGCTACAATCAAGTTCAAGTCATGTCCACTATTTTCTCTGCAAAGAACCAAACCAAGAAAACAAAACCATTTTCAGATACAAGACATTTTTGTTAAACCTCGGATGCTGTGTCTTTCAGGGCTCAATTAAGTAAACAAAAGCCAACAGGCTACCATACTCCCCATCTGTCACCAAAATCCCACAAAAATTCAATCTTTAACTAAAACTTTCCAAGTAATAAACCCAAGACAGAACATCATAAAACACGAAAATTTCTACAATTTCCTTTTCCCTTGTTTGCATTTCTGAAGAATGAAGAAGAATTATATTAATAATTACTCACCTGAGCGGATCCGGGTAGGACAGAGCTTTTATGCAGCTTTCGATTCAAGAATTCGGAGAGTGAAACTTGCGAGCCCTTTTCATTGCTAGCTTTAATCTCAACAGTTTTCTTAAAATCGCTAGACCTGGTAATTATTAACAAGACGATCAAATTAGCAGATTGAACAAATTAGCAGAAATAACAAAAAATTCAAATGCAGGATTGCTTTTTCTGCAAATTCGTGTTTCGTGTTGTTTAAGGATTTCACAGTTGCCTGTTTGATGAACGAAAGATGAACGTTGAATGTATGGATCGCTGGCCCGGTGGCCTAATGGAAGATTTTTTTGGGTTCATATCTTTCTTTCTATCTATGATGATTATGATAGTTATCTGTTGTAATTCTCAGTTTGTTGGTGCTAGCTTGGGGTTTGGAAACCGAGCAGTCATTGGGTTTCCCGTTTCTTGGCGGCAAAAATTGAAAAATTTGGTGAAGGGGGCAATTTTATGCTTTTGAGACTAGGATGTGTTTGGTCAGTAGGATTGAAGGGAAAATTTCTGACGTCTTGGAAGTTGGAAGAGTCTGAAAGAACCCGTTTGGATTGCATTTTTTGGTGAGTTTTTGGGGAAAAAAAATTATTGTAATGTATTTTTTTTTAAAATGATGTATATGAGTTAAAAAAGTTATTAAAAATTATGTAAAAAAAATCACTAAAATGTAAAAAAAATTTCTCTAAAAAATTACAAACCAAACGGAGTCTAAGGAGGAAGAGTCTTGTCATACAAATTGCATAGTTTCATAGACAGTAACTCCGAGATTAGCCGGAAGAGTTTATAAATTAATACAGATCTTTGGTATCATCTTCGATATTAAGATATATCATAAGACCAATAAGTTGATTTGAAATCTCGCTATCAACTGATAGACCTAAAAAAAGTAAACTTTCTCAATAAGTTGGTTGATTAATGTATAGGTATATTTCTTAGAAACCGTACATGCACATTTTGGTGCACACGGCTCAAAAAAAATTTTGAAAAAAAAAAAAAATCAACGTAGAGGACCCAGTTTAATTTAGCGGAAACAAACTACAAAGTGATAGTTATTTTGATAATTATAATAATATTCACCAATCTAGTGTTGATATTTTGTGTAGTATAACAATACAATGCTAGAATAATTTGAGATAATTCGGAAATTTTCTCATATTTTCAATAAAAGATCAATCTTCTTTTTTTTTTTGGTCCTAGGGAAGGCATGTAGCCTACCAAAAAATCATCATCAATCTGGGGATAGCAACTCCCATTACATCTGTAGCCAATAGTAACTTGATCTCTTAGGAGGTGTTTTAAATTTCTCAATTGCAGGCTGGAAGTTCAAATGAAACCTCCTTTTGCCAGGAAATCTGCACAGCCATTTCCCCCTCTCCTTGTGATGTGGTTCATCCTGCAGTCATATTCTCTTGCCTTCAGTTGTCTGATCTTCTGTAAAAGGTTGGTGTGAGGGCTTATAGTTGGGTTTTGTTCCACCAGATGCAAGGCAGCTAAAGAGTCTGATTCAGCCAATACCTTCTTTATGTCCTACTTCCCAAGCTAGCTTCAATCCACAGTACAGGGACCGAAGTTCTGCTACCGTGTTACTTGCAATTGTTACATTAGCCGAGAAATCTCCCCTTCAAAAGCTTATTTCATCTTGTAGTAGTCCATAGCTCTTGCATGGCCTGGATTCTCTGCTGATGCACCATCTACATTGAGTTTGACCCCTCCTGTTGGGGGTATACTCTAGCTGATCATTCTCATTTCCTTGTCAAAACTTGTGGTGTCCTTTTCCACCGCATTTTGTGCTTGAATGGCTTGCTATAGTAGATTATCAGCTGTTATCCTCAAATTTCCCTCGCAGTCTCTTCCCTGACAGTCATCATTTCTTGCTGCCCATGCATGGTGTATGATAAGTTGAAAGTTCAGCTACTAATCCACATTTTCTATCCTGCCAATCTGTTTTTCACTCAAAGTTCCAAGTGATCAATCCCACTAGGTCTTTGTTCCAGAAATCTCTCCAATGAGTTGGATGTACCATCCTTTTCCATGTCTCAAATATCTATTGACAATCTCTGAGGACATGGAGTGCTGTCTCTATTTCCCCTTGATAGATACTATCCATTGCCAATCTGTTTTGTTTCCAAATCTTTTCCCATGCTTTGCATTCTTCTAATGTACTCAGTTCTTGAATTCCCCAGTCATATGCTGGTCTAGTAGAAAACTGCCCATTTGGTTCGTGCACCCGTGTTTGAATGTCTGGTTTGTTTGGAGAATTGTGAACACGCATTGCTCTAAACTTAACAACACAAGCTATTACTTCAACAAATACTCCCTTAAGAATTCCCCATTTCCATCTAGTTTCTTCCTCCCAGTACACTCCTGCTTTCCTGTTCAATTCCTCTTCAGGGATGTTGCAAGTAGGTAGTTACTTCTCTCAAGGGTTCACTTTTGAGCCAGATATCAGTTCAGAACTTGATCTTTTGCCCATTTCCTATCCTCCACTGCAACCCCTATACTCTGCTTTTTCCTGAAATCTGCAATGATTCCCTGCTGCCCATATTTTGCATGAATCTCCTTAGCCTAGAGTTGGTTCCTCTGTTTGATAGTTCCCCATCTCAGCTTTGCAAGCACAGCTTTATTCACCACTTTCAGCTTTTTAACTCGCAATCCTCTTCTTAGCTTCGGTTGAGTGACTCTATTCCATCCTTGATCCTACATGGTGTATCCTCCTTTTAACGTCTTTGTGTCTTTCCATAGGAAGTTATATCAAATGTCGAGCTAATTTAAATTATTACGTGATGTCGTCTGATTATAATTTAAATTAACTGAACACTTGACATCGCTTGAAAATCTTATTTGAACCAGTAACATGCCTTGCGCAATTGCTGGTGACATGCCCTAAACCTAAAATTATAGATTAATTAACCTCTTTTCCTTCTGAATTTGTTGTTATTACTAAAAAGGAAAGTAGTAGAATAAAGAGAAACACACACACGAGTATACACACAACATTATTATATATTCTTTTTTTAAAAAAAAAAAAAAAAACTTCTTCTTTTCAAAAAAAAAAAAAAAAAAAGTGTGCTGACCAAAAGTCTTCCATTCTTGTCTTTATTCACGTTTATCTCCCAAATTAGGGCAGAATGAATATTAGCTTCACTAAGTTGATGTACAGGTGGGGGTTCTTGCTCACAGTTTCCACAGCTTAAACAAATATCAGAAATTCACACAGTGCACACACTCAATCAATCAGCATGGAAACCAAATCAAAACCAGAGCCACGTCAAGAACCTCATCATCATCATCCGGCCAAAAAAACCAAAATCAATCACCCAATGGAGGAAGAAGAGCAACATCCGTCTGCTTCTACTTCCAATCAGGATCAGGAATCATCTTCCGAATCAATGACTTTCCCAGACTTCCCTCATGAAATTCTGGTTGAGATCCTTTCAAGGCTCCCGGTCAAATCCCTTGTTAAATTCAAGTGTGTATCAAAAAGCTGGCTTTCTTTGACCTCAAACCCCCATTTCATCAAAGCCCATCTCAGGATTTCAGCAAACAAGGATGATTTTAGGCACCATGGTCTTATTTTTACTGTTCTCCCTCCAAATTCCCACTCCCACCTCAAGCAGTGTTCTCTTCGTTCTGCATTAAATGTGGAAATGAGCAGTATTCAGGTAATTGACATTGATTATCCGATGAAGAGTCCTCACAAGTCAGTTTGGGTTGTGGGTTCTTGTGATGGATTGGTTTGCATTGCTATTGAAGAAAATGATTTGTTCCTGTGGAACCCCGCTATTAGAAAATACAAGAAATTGCCTGATTTGGCGATTAGATTGAAGCATGGTTGTTATATAATTTTCGGTTTTGGGTATGATATGTTGAATGATGATTACAAAGTAGTTGCTATATTCTGTGTTTTCCGTGGTGGTAATGACTATGAGACTGAGGTTAGAGTATACAGTCTCAAACATGATTCGTGGATGAGGATTGAGAATTTTAAGGGTGGTGTTCCACTGGATGATTCTGGGAAATATGCAAATGGGAAGCTCCATTGGGCTGCCAGTCGTGGTTTTGATTCGAACCACAGTTGGCAAATTGTGAGCCTTGATTTGGGGAATGAGTCTTATGGAGAAGTTGAGCGGCCAGAGTACGGGGATGGTGTGTATGATTGGACTTTTGGAGTACTCGGAGGCTGCCTGACTGTGCTTTGTGATTATGAGTGGACTCGTGTGGATGTGTGGGTTATGAAGGAGTATGGAGTTAGAGATTCTTGGAGTAAAGTGGTTTCTGTGCCCTATTTAGATGATCCTGAAAAATCTAGGTATTCCTTTCCTGTTTGCTTGTTAAAGAATGGTGAAATTCTGCTCGTCTTAGGTTCGGGTTTGGTTCTGTACAATCCACAGAGCAATACATTCAAGTATCGTCAGATAAATGGAGTTGAAGAAGTGAATATGTATGCTGAGAGCTTGGTTTCCCCTCTATTCATTGAGGAGAGTAGCCGCGTTATTATGAGTAAGGCTGCAGAAATAAGGGGAGAGAGCTAATGATCATCTTTTCTGCCACTTGCCGGTGAGGATCTCCTCCCTCCCTTGCTTCTGACTTTCCTGTAACAACTCAATTTTTGGTTCTGACTGTAAATTGTGTATCACATATCTGGAATATGCTAAGTTGGATGGTGTTATTCTGAATACTTTTGTTTGCAAGAGGACGTTTATTGCAGAAAGTACGTATTGACTGAGATTTTCTTGTTACTTTTAAACAATTTCAGAGGTCAGACAGCCTATAGTTTGGTGTTTGTTCCTTTTGGTTTTATAACTTTAGATCTATCTGGTTTCAGCTTTTGAAACTGCCTTGTTCTAGTTCTTTGATAGTCCTTCATTTGTTCATTTTCTAAAAGTAGTTGGGTGGAAGAAAAATTTTATTTAATGGTTCTGGTAGCTTAGGTGATAGTTGAGGACACTTTGGAGGAATAGTTCATCAGGATGTAAAAGAAGCCTTAAAGTTTAGCAATATCTCTTTCACCTTATCCAACTAGTTTTTCCGGCATTGCTATTTTTTGCTTTTCAAAACAGTCCAAATGTGTGAGGCTTTTAATGTCATTTTACGGAAGAATCCTAGAATAAGTAGCTAGTGGTGTTAGTTATGATGAACTTGATAATCAGCCTTCTGTATCTCCAACTCGTTTCATATTACAGTTTAATACTACCCATCTGTTCCCTAAATTAATTATATTTCCAGATACTGCAATTGCATATTACTGAGCTCTAATCAAAGTTCATATTATCATCCTTTTGCCATCAACTTTTAGTAGCTTGTTGCAAATAGTTATGATGAAGAACCTGTCAAAGTAGAACTGTTAAAAAGCGCAAAATGTCACTTATTCACATTGTCCGTTGGTTCTCTGAAGACAAACTTTGGTGGTTATAACTTAACCTTTGATGCTTGATCCTTTCATTTCCATGGAGAGGCCAGGCCTAACAAAGTACTTCACTATTTTCAAGAATCATTTGAAGAAAGTTTCTATACATTGTATATGATAGTTGACCAAAATAGAGTAGTTAGCTACTGTTTTCAAGAATCATCTGGTTGTTTTTAGTTGGACTGCTGTCTCATCTGTGGTATACTCAATTTAGTTCACCCAAATAGTCCATAAAGAGTATGTGCAAGTTAAAATCAATTTGCCAATCACAAATCATTAGATTTGAAGAGGTGGGCGTGGTAGAAAAAGAAAAATTGTGCCTCTAAATCTTTCAGAAGTGCTTCAAACCCAAAACAAAGCACTTCTGATGTAGAAAAAGAAAAACTGTGCCTCTAAATCTTTCAGAAGTGCTTCGAACCCAAACCAAAGCACTTCTGATTTTCTTTCTTCATGGAACCTACAACGTGGCTTGGGTCTTATGCTTCATGACATTTTACCCTTCACATCATTTGATTTAAAAAATCCATCTTTTAGGAAGGTCTACTCACTGTACCATTTTCAATTATGGAGGGCCTTTTAAGAGCAATTTTTGGGGCAGCATGTCTGAATTCCTTTTAGCAAAATCAACACTTAAGTAGCTGACCTATCCTTGCCCTTTAGCAATTTAGCAATAGTGTAGCGCAAAATGAAGCCTTTCTTATGGGAAATTATATGAAGCAAATGTAATGGCACGTCCTTAATGAGCTTTAAGGACAAATTACCAGTGCATTTTGTTTAAAATATGGCTGCCAATGGTTCCTAATGATTCTCCAAAGTCTTATGCCTTTAACTGCTGCTTCTTGCCCTGTTTCATAATGAAGTATGGGTGCCATTAGCATGAAGTATCAGATATTTATCTAGCTTTAGGCTAGAATTAAGATGTTTAATGAAGTATTAATTTAAAATTAAGACTAAGACGGGCTCCTTTCCCTTTTCCTTTGTGGTTATTTTTTGCTAGTTATAACAGGACTGGTAGGAAGATTTTGTTTTACTCTATGTCACAAGTTTACTGATTTTCCTACCCTATCAAATAGTTAGTAGCTGTAGAACCATTGACTGTGATTAAAGCTTACCAACCCTTAACCACATGAGTAGAATTAGCTATGGCACTAGTTGATACGTTTTTGCAGTAAAGCAACTGTGTTTATGCTCTTTGATCGTTTTTTCTTTTGTTTGATTGATTTTTCATTTTCTAAGTTGAATACACCTCCTAGACATCAACCTTGGCAAGATGCTTAATTGAAGAGGCTTTAGTTGGTAGGAGTCCCCGATGGCAGCCTTGACAATAGCACTTCAGCTTGAGTAGTATAACCTTCTTGGCCTTTACACTGTAAAAGATAAAATGTAGTTCCTCTGAGTGCCATTTTCTCAATTTTCAATGATATTGTATTGTTGCTCAATGAGGAATATGCAGCTTTATGCAATCACATCGTTGACTACTGAATGTAGCTTGATCAACCAGCAACCTGAAATCATTTCAATTTGATAATCTTTCAACTTGCAGCGACATGTGGTACAGTATGAATTATCAAATGGTTAGTGAAGAAACTTTTTTTTATACAGGGTGCTGGGAAGTTGAAGCTAATGCTGGTTGAGTTTGTTTTATCTATTTCAACAAAATGCAGGGAGCATCAGAACCACAAGAGAACAAGGCAATAAGCTTGTTCCCAGTTTCCACCCTATGCAGGCTAGGGAAATTTCTTATTGCAATATGTTGTATGTAAGGGATATGTATGAGATGCAAATGACTGTAACCATATTCTCTTTGATTTGGAGCATATTTTGGAAATGATGCATTTGATTCTGACTGGGATGGGGAGGGTATGGGTGGGTTAGTGCTGGTTTCTTTTATATATGCTGGCTCTTGTTTCTTGTGATTCATCAAGATATTTCTGTTCATTATCATTAAGATGAATCCTGTCATCAATCAAATAAACCACATTTGTCCAATATGACAAAAAAGGGGAAAAAAGTCTGGCCAAATTCTTTTAGAGCAATTTAGGAAAATTTTTATTTCAAAATGTCCTTTTAAACCCATATATCATTGACACCCTTAATGTTGAAAATAAAAAGACACCCAAATTCGTTCTATAAAAACCTAACAAAACCTATTAAGAATATTATTATTGTCGTATTTAGCCTAAGCAACGTGGATAGTTGCACCATGTACAATATTGGCGTTGTATAATTTGTACTCTAACTTAAGCAAACTATATATATATATACATATATATATATATAGCATATTTTAAGACAAGAAAGAGAGTCCCGTGGAGAAATGCGGAAATTAATTTGGTTTAAAATCAAATGAACTTTATTTTCTTTTTAAATGAGGATTAATACTATTTTCACTCGTTCCCTTGACGACTCAAAACTTATAATCAAGAGGTTGCAAGCGAAGCGTCTTACTTACTAAACTATATTTTGTCTGCATGATCTTCCATTCAATACAAAATGGATAGTGAATATATTGCTTGAATGAAAGGTACATTCATACATGTAGATGTCATCAAGGATAAACATTTACAGTAAAACACAGGCGGCAGCATTTCCAGGATTCCAGCATGACAATTGACAACTATGGAGAATCACTGTCAAGAAGAATGATGTACAAAGGATAAGTCCATAAATTTACGTTATGGACTTTGGATCACTTCATTTGGCTTGCATCCAATGCTTAAGAAGCATATCAATTTTACATAACACTGTACCATAACTTTGGCGTCGTCTTACAGAAACATGTTTTAGAGCGGCGGCAGCCAAGATTCCAACAACAGTGGTGAAATATCAACAACCGTCAGATTATGAAGAATTGTGTATAAACTATTGTGTCCGAATCCCTTTTTGGAGCTTCTTCATAGATCATAATGCCGAAAGCATTTCCTCCAAAGCCTTATTTTATCCATGCCTGTCTCAATAAGTCGTCAGTTCAAAAACTGTGGATATACAGCCGGCCTGTGCTGCTGCCTGGATTATTAGCCATCATCCATATCCTTCCACCAACATAAGATGCGTTTTTGCATCCATTGCATGTAAACTTGTGGATGGCAAAACGCCATACAAAAAGTTAACACTCATACAAACTAATAGAGATAATCTATGAACTTTGGAAAGAAAAAAAAAATAGGATGTACTTTTTGTCAAAATCCAAAACTAAGCTAAGTTTTTGTCAAAATCATGAAAAATGCATGTTGGGGGATAGACCTTGGCTGCTAAGTATAGCTAGCAAAGCAATATTTGTAAAGGGAGGGAGAGAAAATGTAGGATTAACGATTAATTGGCCATTATTTTGCAAGCCTAAGTATAATCCATACCCTAAAGCAAAGGATAAATCAGTATGAGAAGGCTAGGTTAATTAACTTCAAAAACTCTAAAATTACCATCCATCCCTTAATTAGACATACTTGGTCCAGTAAAGTAAAGAATTGGACAAAATATATCCGTCTTTTCGTGAAAATAGAGCAAGGATCGATTTTCTGCAATCAATGAAACAATGGAATCTACCTTTGCCTTGCGATACAAACAGAAGGATCCTCCGCACAAACTGGTCGGTCGAACAGGCAAGCCCGCTTGGGAGAAACTTGTATTCTCTTCCCTCCATGCACCAAAGAATCCCAGCCCTGCCTTTAAATTTCCATCCTCATCTAGTCATTTCTAACACCCCCCCCCCCGGGGCGGGGGCTATAAGTTCCCAACCTAACGTCAAGTGAAGTAGGGAAGGAGAAGAATCAATGGAGGAGCTACCAGCACCCCTTGAATTACTGCCCCATCTCCCTAATGAACTCATCATTCTTGAAATCCTTCCAAGACTCCCAGTCAAGTCACTTTTGAAATTCAGGTGCGTTTCCAAATCATGGCTTTCTTCAATCTCAACCCCACATTTCATCAAAGCCCATCTCGAAAAATCATCCCAAAACAAAGATCACAGTCACCACAGCCTCATTGCACACTCTTCTGCACCACATATAGCTTTCAAGAACTGCTCTGTTCAGTCTTTGCTGCAACAGCCAGTTACTCATGCAACTAATGTTAATTATCCCGTTGCAAATACCTCTAGTTCAATCTCTGTTGTGGGTTCTTGCAATGGGTTGATTTGCATTGTTGTCAACTGTGAACAAATTCATATATGGAATCCATCCACGACAAAATCAAATACGTTGAATGACTCAGATTTTATAAGGGAGAAGCATTGCTACACTATTTATGGTTTTGGACATGATGAGATGAATGATGATTACAATGTAGTGGCGATTATAAACCCTCTTAATCGTGTGAAGATTGAGACTAAGGTTTACAGCCTAAAGAGTGATAAATGGAGGAGGATTGATGATTTTCCCGGGTTTTTCCCTTTCTACAGTTGGGGGAAATATGTAGAAGGAAAGCTACACTGGCCTGGTTTCAGTGGTAAGCAAGACAGGGCTGTTGTTTCTTTTGATTTAGCTCAAGCTAAATATGGAGAATTGAAGCTTCCAATCAATGGAGATGGAGCTTCGTTTCCGCTACTCGGAGTACTAGGGAGGTGCCTTTGTGTAATGTACGAGTATCAGTGGTCTAGTGTGGATCTATGGGTGATGAAGGAGTATGGAGTGATGGAATCTTGGATCAAGATGCTTACTTTTCCAAGTTTTGGGATTCGAGGCCATGTCCCGTTGTGCATTTCAAGAAATGGTGAAGTTTTAATCCAATTTGAATCTACTCTCAAGTTGTACAATTTGCAAGGTGATTCAGTCGGAAATCCTAAGATCATGAACATGGATGAATGCTGCGATGCAATCTACTATGTTGAGAGCCTGGTTTCTGCAAATGCTAATGATAAAGAAGACAGGCGACATGGATAGCAAAGGCAAAAGAGGCAAAAAAGGAAATTTTCTGGGTTTATTTCTAGTGTAATGCCAAGTATTTATTGTATACCTTTTCTATTTGAGTCTTCTGGCAATTAACAATTTTTTTTTTTAATTTCATCAAGATGAATTCTGTCATCAAACAATTAATAAACCAAAATTGGCCAAATGAAGATAAAAATTAGCCAAAATGAGGAGGGAATACATAATTATTGAATTAGATATAATTAGAGAAAACTTGCATGTGCAAATATTTGGTGGTTTGTACTTCAAGTGAGTTTGGGTTGTCTTAAACGTGGGCTGAGCGATCTTGGTTTATGTTTAATTTGCGCAACTAATAACTATGATCAAACCTTGGATTTAGTTTGGTGAAAATGGACCCTGAAAGGTTTGTTAATACCACTATTTTCTTTATCACTCAACCCGACCTTCTTCCTTGTTAATACTTAATACAACTATGATTGTTATGAAAAAGGAAAAAGATATTGCGATGAATAAGTAATATTAGTTACTTACTTTTAATTAGCTTTTTTTTTTTTAAGAAAAAATATGGTCATGTTCTGTTGCCAAACTAAAAGGGCTGTTGCCAAAGTGCAAGAGAACAATCAAACTTTTTTTTTTCCTTGTAATTTCAAGGAAACTCCAAGTTTTACTATTGTATCCAGACTAATGTCCCTATCACTTGAGTTGAATTTTAGCAATTGATGTTCTCAAGTTACAGAGCTAGAAAAAATTTTAGATAGGTAACTATAGGTTTGACTCTGTTGGCACACAAAAATGTGTGTACAGCGGAAGCAATTCTAACACATAAAAATATACGGGAAGAGGAGGAAAACAAATATTCAATAATTTAATTAACTCAAAACCCAACAATAATATATATCAAGTCGTAGCTTTTCGCTCACAACAACTCACAAGTCTCAACTATGAGATTTTCTCTCAAACTTACTCTCAAAACTCAACTCAACTCTTTTAAGCTTAACCTAGCTCCACTGTTGATATATATAGAAAGACCCGACACCAAACCTAAACCAACTAGTACTTGGACTAGTATTCTTGACTGACTTAAACCACTTGTAGAAAGGAAAGTTGCAAAACCAAATACTAGTAGGACTAGACAATCTACGCTGCAAGGAACCTGCAATTGCCAACCAAATCAGCTTCGGTTTGGGACTCTTGGACAACCAACAAAGAAATAAAGAAAGACATACTTAGCATGGGCTATGGTCCCGTGCAACTTCCATAACTATAATTTTTACAGTCATCCAAACTAAGTAAATAACCGATAATTAAATTACTAAATTAGCTAGGTTTAACTTCCTTCATTGTCTCCCTTAAACCAAGCTCTTGATATTGTCATCTCCAATGTCATCACGAGTTTGAATTTCCATAAAAAATTCAATCGCTGTATAGATGATGTGGAACTCCAACTTGCAATTGATGTCCAATTTCACTTACACGTGCGGTAGTGGACGAAACTTGTACTTTTCAAACAGTTTTTTTGTTTGATCACTCTTGTCAAAAAATTCAATCATACTCACCTAGACTCCATTAGATACTCCATTATTTAATTCATCCATATCACCAAGAAAATCTCCCAAAAGCAAAAAATCATAGTTGCTGTTACCAATGTTTTTAACATCACCATGTTTTTCCTTTACTTTTTTCACACTAACAACTGCATCAACTTTAACAGTATCACAAATTTCAATTAATTTGTCCACCTCACAATTGATCTCAATCAAGCCCATTATTTGATTTTTCTCTTCAAAAAATTCATCAATCTCGACAAAATTAACAATTTCTACTTTGCTATGATCTTCAGGCACATCTTTAACTTCATCAATGACTTCACCTTTTTTCTCAACCGCACATGAGATTTCTTCTTGAATAACAAATTTTTCATCTTCATGTGCATTCATAACTTTTACAATTTCTTCTTTCTTTGTCTCATCAAAATATTCTTTTTCTTCTTCATCACAAATTTCTTCTCCACCATGGCCATAAAATTTTATTAAAAATTTCCAAGCCTCCTTTGATGTCTTTACATGTATGAATTTTTTCACTACATGTAATTGGGCTTGGGTACTGAGATAGTAGAGTGCCTTGTAATTCAACTGTCTATTCCCCTCTATTTGTTTAACTGCATCGATTGATAATTCTATACCTGTTATAGGTTCCATGAATCCCTTTTGGGTAATATTCCAAACTCCAATATCTTTGAAAAAATCCTTCATCATCGACCTCCAGGTCTCAAATTTACTTTTACCATCAAAGACAAAAGCAGGACAATGTTGTAAATAATGCAGAAACATACTTTAATTTCATGAACAAGCTCCAAGCCCCAATTTTGTGGACAAGCCCCAGGATCAAACCCTACAGCTCTGATACCACTTGTTGGCACAAACAATAACACACACGGTAGAAGTAATTTTAACACATAAAAATATGTGAAAAGAAGAGGAAAACAAATACTCAATAATTTAATTAACTCAAAACCCAACAATAATATATATCAAGTCATAATTTTTCGCTCACGACAATTCACAAATCTCAACTATGAGATTTTCTCTCAAACTTACTCTCAAAACTCAACTCAACTCTTCTAAACTTAACCTAGCTCCACTGTTGATATATATAGAAAGACCCGAGGCCAAACCTAAACCAACTAGTACTTGGACTAGTATTCTTGACTGACTTAAACGACTTGTAGAAAGGAAAGTTGCAAAACCAAATACTAAGAGGACTAGACAACCTATGCTACAAGGAACCAGCAATTGCCAACCAAATCAGCTTCGGTTTGGGACAAAGAAATAAAGAAAGACTTACTTAGCATGGGCTATGATCCCGTGCAACTTCCATAACTAAATTTTTACAATCATCCAAACTAAGTAACTAAATGATAATTAAATTACTAAATTAGCTTGGTTTAATTTCCTTCAGACTCTCAAACCTTCTCATTTCCCACTCCTTTAAACCAAAAAATTTCTTTCACAATAGATAACGGAAAGGAAGAACCCAAATGTTTAGGAAAACTCTTATAGTCTTATTCCAGAAAGCCCTGTAGAACCCTGTCCTTGCCACCCCTATTTTCATATAAGCACCAAATTTCGTTTATGAAAACTACTGTTATGATATGAGCCTAAGCAATCAACACAGTTACACATGTAATACTTTGACAGTATAATTTGTATTCTACTTTTATCAAACTGCAGCTTGTGCATTTGAAGAAGACAGAGATGGAAAAATTCAGAAACCTATGCGGTTTGAAATCCATTGACAGCCCATCTAATGCAAAATCTCAAAAAATAAAAAATAAAAAATCAACTGGCTTCAAATCATCCTATCTACCCATCTTTCTGCAATAATGTGAATTAAACAAAAAGAAAAGGAATTAAACAAAAAGAAAAGGAGAGAATCAAAGCCATGCAAAGTATAATGCCCAAGAACCAAAAGCTCATAAAAAATACAAGGATGGCACGATCAACAACCCCACTATTTCATCCGCCCCATCCCGGTGGCACTGGAACTAGATTCCACCAAGAGACGTGTAAGGCCAATAAGCGAAGCTACAGAAAGTACATCGTGTGGATGTTGACTAATAACTAATTAAGTTAATCATCTTTCTCTTTTCTTTGGTTAAACATGAGATATTACGTCATATGAAATTATGAATGCTGAAGTCTTCTTTTTTTTTTTTTTTTTCTTCTTCTTGTGAAGGATGAATGCTGAAGTCTTTAGTTACTGATCTTTCTCTTTTCTTGAGTTAGGCCAGTTGTGACTTTTATGGCCATGATCCAAGGAGGATCCAATCATACTGAAAAAGCCTATAGTCGGAATATATAATGCCTAATAATGGGACAAAGACATATGTGCCTATATTGTTGTGTCATTGCTGGGGTAAAATATGAAGAATAAATCATTCCTCCTGAAAAAAAGTATATAAGGAGAATGTGAATACATCATGGTAAATAAGAAATAAAGGTGGTGTATGGATTCGAGTTTTCTATCAGCAAGTTTTTATGTTTTTTGTGAACATATTTTTCAATCACATTTTCACTTCATATGCATCAAATTATTATAATATATTTTTGTATAAAAACTCTAAAAATAACAATCCAAACTGTATTGTTAACATTTTTGAGATGGAACTAACAATCAAGGGCACACACTACGCTGTTGGGAAAAATGCGTGTAATATTGTTGCAATGGTTTTGACTGATAGTTATGTATTTGCGCTCTCTAATTAACAAGAAGGTTAAAGAAATTTTACATGGTATTCTTGTTTATGTTTTGTGTTTGTTTTCAATATAGTATATTTATTGGATCGGTACTTTTTACAAATTTGCTGGAAAATTTACAAAAGTGTGATGGCTAATTAATTAATTTAGAAAATGTGCGAGCTAATTGCTTACCCTTTTTTTTTATTTGTGTGTATTTTTGTTCTAGTTTTCTACAAAAATAAGCATGCAAAAAAGCAATTACCTTTGTTCTCTTTGTACTGCCACTTTCCTCTTGTTTTCTGCTTTTGTAGTAAGGAAAAGAATTATGCTATGGACTTAGATCACCTAAGTAGTCTCCAACACGAAAATAAAGGATGAATTCATGGTACCATGTAGGTGTATAATTTGTCTTCAGTTTGAACTTAAACGTGGGTGGCAGCATTTCCAAGTTTCCAACCGGACAAATATACATGGAGAATCAGAATTGATTAATGAAAAAACATCAACAATCGTTCACATTAATTACAAGAATGGTGTATAAAATAAAGAGAAAATGTCAATTTTCATCCCTAAACTTTTAGCCATGGACAAATTTCATTCTCAAACTTTCTAGCACAACACATTTTGCATCCGAACTATCAATTTTTGACCAATTTCATCCTCAAATGAGAAATTAATCAATTTAAGCCGTTCTCTTTCATGCAACACTTTTTATTTATTAGGCTCATGTTCATCACGTGCCTAATTTCTGTTCAAATAAATTGATTAATTTTTCATTTGAGAATGAAATTGGTTAAAAATTGGTAGTTTAGATACTAAATGTGTTACGCTAGAAAGTTTGAAGATGAAATGTGTTCATGACCCAAAGTTTAGGAATAAAAACTAGCATTTTCCCTAAAATAAAATCCAAATCTTAATCACCTGTCTAGATTCACCATCAAGTATTTTCATGCTTTTCGACTTCCCATCGTTCACCATCAATGTTTCTTGGCAAACTCTTGAAACAAGGATACCACCCATTAAATTGTTCAATTAGTAATAACCACCAACCCATTTGATCTCAATAATCAACCAGGATCCAACTACGAACCCCACTATGATACTAGTTTGTTGGGATCCAAGCGCGGAATAAACGACTATTGAAATATCAAGTACACAACAATTAAATGACAAACAAATCATAAGTTTTGAAAGATTAACGATACATAAGATTTCGTGTGATTCGACTCCATCATTGAAGCCACATCCACGGAAAGAAATTTATTCTTTATTGTAAAAAAAAACTATATACAAGAATACAACTTGAACTCAAGTTCAATTCTTAAATACCATTTTTCATCGTCCAAAAACCCTCTCTCACCTCCCATGTCGCCCCTATGTGCTCTTAAGTCACTTTGTAGTATGCCAACCCTACCTATTTATAAGTTACATTACTTGATCAACATCCAAATAATAACAGGGAAAAGTTACATTACTTGATCAGCATGCAAGTAATAACAAGAAATACCTGCTAATTCCTAATCTCATACGGAGTAGAAAATAATTTCTAATTCCTAAACTTATACAAATAGGAAATTCCTTACCAACTATTTCAAGTATGAAATAACTAAAATCAATTAAAAAACTAATTACTTCCACACAAAATAAGAAGCATGTTTAAAAGAAATTAAACCAATTTTTTAACACATATTACTTAGGAGTTAGGACACCGCAATAAATTTGCCTTCATAATCCATACTTACGATTCTATCCTATTAATATTTACCTTCAAAAGCCATTCTTACGACTCTATCCTTATCTCAATCCATCTGTCAATATTAATGGATTTTCTTTTATTTTTGCTTCTAGTGATATGTCATACTTTTGTACCCGTTTGTCGATATTAGCTATACTTAGTATTAAGAACTAATAAATTAGTTGGTAGGGATAATGACGTGACCTAAGATCTTAGATATGACGCTCAAATCTTCCCTTTTACCCCCTCTCTTTGTAAGACTTGGATTACGGTCCGTTTGTTTCGGGTGAAAATATTTTCTTGGGTGAAAATATTTTCCTAATTTTCCTAGTATAAATAGGAGGACTCGAATCCAAGACCTCTTCCTTATACTCCCTCTCCCGTACCACCCAACCCAGGAAAATATTTTCCTAATTTTCCTAGTATAAATAGGAGGACTCGAATCCAAGACCTCTTCCTTATACTCCCTCTCCCGTACCACCCAACCCAACCCTCCCCCTAGTATATTCAAAATAAAAAAAAAACCCCACTCTGCTCATCGTATGCTAGTAATTAATTATGTATAACAGGGACATTCTTTTCTAGAAAAACTTTCAGCAGTGAGAGTGCAACAAGATATATGTCGCAATAAGCATTGCATGTGATTGATATTTGACACTAAATGACCAGCAATTTGTTTATTGCTTAAGGAAATATTTTTATTCATATATACATTTCTCCAAGATTTTTTAAAATTAAAAAATGAAATAAATTTTCTTATTTTGTATGGGAAGAAGTATGTAGTTATAATGTGTAGAAAGTAAAGATAGAGATAAAAGTGAAAATATTTCAAAAGTTAAACAAATACCGGAAAAATGAAGTAAGAAAATATTTTCAATAAGCTAACTAAACACCTGAAAATGATAAAAGGGAAATGCTTTTCATGAAAAATTACTTTCATGGAAGAAAAATATTTTCCTTCCAACCAAACATACCCTTAAAAGGCTTCAGTTTTCCCCATTTGAGAATATTCTAGTCCTGAAGTTGATACTTTTTAAGTAAGGCGACAGTAATTATTTCACTGTCCAAAATGGGGGGTATAGACTCTAATGGAAGAATCGTATTCGGGAACAACAAGTATATTTCCAAATTACTATCAAAAGACCTGGCCCGTACGGTAGCAGTTTAATGTCTTCATCGTTCCATATACAGCCCCGCCAGCTGGCCAACCACCGAACTTGGGAGAAACACGCATTCTCTTCCCCTCAGCCACAGAAGAAAAAAATTCCACACCGCTTTTAAATTTCCATCCTCAGCTGGTTGGCTGAGGCCTAAAAATCTAAAGCCTGTATCAAAGAAAGGAAGGAGAAGAAGAAATGGAGCAGCCACCAGCAGCACGTGAATTACCGCCCCATCTCCCTGATGAACTCGTCGTTCTTGAAATTCTCCCGAGACTCCCTGTCAAGTCACTCTTGAGATTCAGATGCGTTTCGAAATCATGGCTTTCTTTGATCTCAACACCACATTTCATCAGAGTCCATCTCGAAAAATCATCCCAAAACAAAGATTACAGCCACCTCAGCCTCATTGCACATACTTCTGCCCCGCGTTTTGCTTTCAAGAATTGCTCTGTTCAGTCTTTACTGCAAGAACCGGTTACTCGTGCAGCTAATATTGATTATCCTGTTGAAAAGGCTCCTAGTTCAATCTCTATTGTGGGTTCTTGCAATGGGTTGGTTTGCATTGTTGTAGACTGTGAACAAATTTATATATGGAATCCATCAACGAGAAAATCGAACAAATTGAAAGATTCAGGTTTTATAAGAAAGCAGCATTGCTATACTATTTACGGTTTTGGATATGATGAGATCAATGATGATTACAACGTAGTGGCAATTTTACGGGCTCTTAATCATGTGAAGATTGAGACGAAGGTTTATAGCCTAAAGAGTGACAAGTGGAGAAGGATTGAGGACATTCCTGGCTGTTTCCCTTTTTATAGTTGGGGGAAGTATGTTGATAGAAAGTTACACTGGCCAGGCTATAGTGGTAAGCAAGACAGGGCTGTTGTTTCTTTTGATTTAGCTCAAGCTAAATACGGAGAATTGAAGCTTCCAACTAATGGAGAGGGAGCGTCCTTTCCGGTACTTGGAGTATTAGGGAGGTGCCTTTCTGTAACTTATGAGTATCAGAGGTCCAATACTGTGGATTTGTGGGTGATGAAGGAGTATGGAGTGATGGAATCTTGGACCAAAATTCTTACTTTTCCAAGTTTTGGAATTCGCGGTCCTGTGCCACTGTGCATTTCAAGGAATGATGAAGTTTCAATCCAATTTGGATCTACTTTCAGGCTGTACAGTTTGCAGGATGATTCCATGGGAAATCCTAAGACTATCAACATGGATGGATGCCGTGATGCAACCATCTATGTTGAGAGCCTGGTTTCTGCAAGTGCTACAGAAAAAGAAGAAAGGCGATATGGATAACAAAGGCAAACAATGTAAACATCGCGCACCCGTACTTTTCTTTTGTAATTCTCTTGTCATGTAGTTGGCTGTTCCGTTCTTGATAAGAAATGTGCATGCACTTTGTATTCTGCAGGAAGGGACATGGTAGGAACAACTTTTATGCTTTACGTTTAACGCCCTAAGAGATGATTCCTCTGAGAATTAAAAGAATCCTATGCCTCTGTATTAGTAAATAGTCAATTCTAGCAATCCCTTTGATCTCAATGGAGTTCATGTTTGGCCACTATCCTTGGCACTCGGTTATCTAGATCACCTTGTCGTGTTCCAGTTTAGGGAGTAACAAATGCAGTACTTGGCATTTTCTGCAATTTTGTAGATAAAGCTGAGTTTGAGGAGTTAGGGGAGCATGGGCAAGTACAGTTGTCATATGATGCTGCTGTGTTCGATTAGTGTATTTGTAATTACAATATTTGGTATACGCTCATATAAATTATGCGTAGTATTATATTTTTACACAGCATCAAATAAAACAATTAAAATGACGAGTACAACAACATAATGTAAGTGTATATAAACCAATACATGTAAAAATTACAATAATAGCAGTATAAACCTGTTTAAAGCAGAACCTCCTCGACTTCCTTAGCAAGGGGCTTTTTTTTTTTTTTTTGCGTATCGACATATCTAGTCTAGCTTAATTTGCTCTTAGAGGGGAGGGAAGCCTACTCTATGGGGTGACCCAACCGAGTACATCTAATCTAGTTTAGCCTACTTCTAAGGGGGGGGAGGGGAGCCTATTCTATGGGATGGCCTAACTGAGTCAGGAAACCTGACGAGGATTGAATTACCATCAGACCAAACGGGTGCACCGCACATCCGTATGGATTTAAAACAAACTTCATATAGAGGCGCACATTGATGGAAGATAAGGTTTGAACTCTTGACCTCCCACCCCACAATTAATGTGGCCGGCTGCCTTAAACCTTTCGTTCCTTTCATACTTTTATCAGCCAATAAAGTTTGAGCCATCTAAAATACTGTCTGAAGCAAACACTTAATGCCATTTTGTTTTGAAATTTGATCCTATCCTCCACCTAATTCACAAGGGCACTTTATCTAAACAAATGTGTAGTAGAACAGGCTCATTTCTAATATGCAAAACACATAGTTTGGTGCGAAAATTGAAGAGAATTGATTTATTTGACAGATTGTCTTGATTTTGTTTGATGCAGCTGTTTCATTTCGTGATTTCCAAGACATACTTGTCAGACCCTTGATCGAAAGCCTTGTAGAAGGCATTACTATTCAGTATTCTGGTGAGAAAGATTTAGTAGCAGTTGGTAATATAGTAGTTGACACATCTCATATGTACAAGGATGGATCAACAAATTTTCTTCTCGTGTGAGGACTGCATCCAACCTCTTTGTTTTATTCCTTTCTGCAATTATTTGCAGTTCAATCATAGAAATTTAATGTGGAAAATCTAGATTATGCTTATTTATATCTGATAATTTTAAAGAGTACTCGAAAAGATAACGTCTGAGTTTTTGCAGTAGTTTTACGTTTTCCTCATGGAATTCTTGGGGGGATGGGGTTGGAAAGCAAGAAGTGTTCTGCTTCTGGATATAATTTGCTGCTAAAAGTGTCTATAAATCTTGTCTAAAGCTTAATTATTAGTACAATTAGATATTGCACTTCAATATCTGCAGGATTGAAAGGGAAGAAAATAAGTATGGTTGATTAAGACTTCTTATTTATGAAATTTGAGAAAAAAGATGTAAGGATGTTAACCTTGATATCCTAGTTGATCTTGTATTGTCACCATGGTCATGATATGGACAAGTCTTAGTTTAAACTGTTAAAAATATCACATTACGAAATGATGGGCATTGTCTGTAACATCTTCTTCTATCATAATTTGACATTGTGAGTCTTTGTGACGACTTTCACATGAAGTCTGCAGTAGATTTTTAATCAATACTTCAAAGAAACAATGAAAGTCTTGTCTGATTGTTTCTACTCTTGCGTAGGCTTGACACCCCACTGCTGCACCACTAGCCTAACAAAGTTACAGTCAATCATAAATTTTTTGGGATAAATTACATATAATTCCCTTGTGATTTCATCTATTGCTATATGACCGCTCTAACATTTCAAAATATCGACTTCATCCGCTATGATTTTGTGTAAAGTGGAAACTTGACGTAAGATAACCTATGTAACGCCTTTAATTGAAATACAAATAGTGTCTATACTTATATGCTAAATTAATTGAGAGTTTAACTACCTTCGATAAAAAAGTATAAGGGGATTACGTAGATAAACACAAAAATTATAGGAGGTAAAGTGAATATTTATACAAGCCATAAGGGAATTATATGGAGATCAAGATTTTATCACACACTTTTTTAGAATGTGTTTGATATAAATGTCATAATTGATTGCGTATTTCGTCCATTTTTCACTTTACATAAAATCATAGGAAGGTTATATGGTTATTTTGAAATCTTAAGGAAATCATCTGACATTATGTAAAATCATAGGGAGATTATAAGTAATTTACCCGAAATTTTATCAATCATAAGAATAAGCAAAAATCTAAAATGAGGTCTAATTAGATCTAAAAATCTCAAAGATTTGATTAATTATTGTATCACCCACTCAATGGCTAGTCAGATAGGGGGGGAAAAATGTCAAAGCAACACAATAAGTGCTTTAAAATGATTTGAAAGCATGGCTTGTACATTGAGACTGGTCTAACCCTCTCTCGTATGAACGAAACTTTAAGAAGTAGTGAAATTTTGCCATATCGCTAGTTGAAGATATGATATTCAACAGAAGGGTGCTACTTTGATCTGACCAAATCCATAAGAAGGAGAAAGTCCCTACTCAAATTTGTTATTTTAATGAATGTGAAATTGAGATTACCATTCTGTACTCCGTTACCGTGCTTCTGTTTGTGAACCAAGTGTAAGGCAGGTCACAGGGATGCATGAATACTGAAGTTTTTATGGTGTGTGAATTGTGAAGGAATTTTGGACTAACACTAGATACGACTTCCAAGGAAAAGTTTGCAAGCTAATGATGGTTCGAGGATTCTGCATAGCAGCCTCAGATTTCAATACTCAAGATAGTTTGATCAGATTTGCAAGACTCGTACAAAAAAGTTCTTGGCTTAGAAGTTCCTGTTTTTATTAAGACGCTATTGATACTTTCTAAAGAAGGGGTTGCTCAAGATTTTGCCTCGACTCTTCGGCGGATCAATGCTTTGTCTGATCTCCTTTAGAAATGAAATGCAGACCACTGGAAGCACTTGGGGTCGTCGAATCTGCAGCATTATTGGTGATTGCCAAGTACATAGTGGGTGATAAGTCAAATTGGCAAATTGCTTGAAAGTCAGCCTTAACAGATTAGAAGAATCAACCAGAGCGAGAGGAGAGTGAAAGCTGAAAATAGATCCTTTGCGTGAAAGAACACTGAACATTGACTTTCTTGGTGAAAGTAGGTGCCCAGTAGAGCAAAGGGATGGAAATAATTAAGGTCATCGATTACGGTATTAAATCGCACTAGGATAATTGAGGATAATAGCATAACTTGACGAAGTCAAACAGGAGCACTTGCAATAAATAATTTGCTCGAGTACAAGTTGCCAGACGGAGACAGATGCCGACACAGTTTTGATAGTATCATACAAATGTCCCAAGAATGGATATAAATTTCGTAGCTCATCTCTTCCAAAGTGCAAGTGAAAAATGCATTTAAAAAATGACTAGGTTGATTCGAGAAAGGCCAACGGGCTCTACAGTCTTGTTCCCAGATTCTTCTTGTATGAAACAACCACTTGATTGGCTTTGGATTCATCTCCTACTGTTGGACGAATATTAGAGATTAAAGCAGCATTGGATCAAGAATCTGCTTTCAGCTAACTGATATGCAAGCCCATCAAAGGCCAGAATATTAATATTCTGCAAGAAGATCCAAGGACAATGCCAGATCTTCCCCAAGAACTCATAGTTGACATACTCACAAGGTTACCAGTCAAGTCCATTTTGAGATTCAGGTGTGTTTCAAAATCATGGCTTTGTTTAATCGCAAGTCCTCATTTCATCAAATCCCATCTCACAATATCAACAAAAGTCAACAATCATGCCCGTCATGGCCTTCTTTTAGCTCCCATTGATGCTCCTACTGAGCTTTACACCTGTTCTCTTTATTCTGTTTTGTATCAAAGATCTCCTGTTAGTGCTGAAAAGGTTCAACTCCCCTTGCAAAGTAAATATCCTAGATTATCCTTTGTGGGATGTTGCAATGGGCTGGTTTGTTTATCTGAAGGGTCTCATGATCTCATTTTGTTCAATCCATCCACAAGAAAATCCAATGTTTTACCGAATTCAGGCATTGATGTGGGTAAATTTAAGCATATGACATATGGTTTTGGTTATGATGAAGTACATGATGATTATAAAGTAGTAGCAATAGGCTATTCTTGCCCCTATGGGATGAATTGCCAGACTATAGTCAATGTCTACAGTTTAAGGACCAACTCTTGGAGAAATATTCAAGGCTATGAAGGTGGATTCATTTCTTCTTGTTCAGGTGTGTTTGTTAACGGAGCTCTTCATTGGCTAGTGGTTTCTGAGGATGGTTCTATTTCCTCTTGGCGAATTGTTTCTCTGAATCTGGCAACAGAGACCTATGGAGAGATATTGCAGCCTAACTATGAAAAGGGCAATGTTGCTTTTATGCCCGGGGTTTTAGAAGGAAATCTTTGTGTCTTTTACAACCACTATGAAGTGAAATTCGATGTATGGGTGATGAAGGAATATGGGCTGAAGGAATCTTGGACTAAGTTGGCTTGTATCCCTTACTCTGTGAATTTCAATGGTCGTGCTTCACCATTGTTTGTCTCAGAAGCTGGGGAGATCTTATTGAAGCATGATTACTCTTTGATGCTCTACAATGGGAAAGATGATATTTTTACAAACCGGGATCTGCAAATGCAAGGTGCTAACTATCCAGGAGCAGCTGCTGTCTACATTGAGAGCTTGGTATCCCCTCACATTGATGAGGTTGGGCACAAAACTTGTGCACAGTGAAAGAAAGGTGAAATTGTTCAAGGATAACCTTTTCCAACCTAGAATATTACTTCTGTTAGACATTGCTTTGAAATATTCTAGTTTGCGGAAGACTCCCCCAATGATGGACTA